AGATAGATAGATAGATAGATAGATAGATAGATAGATAGATAGATAGACAGATAGATTAAATATAGATATGATATATAGATATAGATATAGATAGACAGAGACAGAGACAGAGATAGGAAATATGCATTTGGAAAATGATCACTTATCTGGGCTTTATTGAGCCTAACCCTAGGCCAATGCAAACATGGTCAGCTAATAGCCTAGGCAAATCATGTTGACACACAGAACCACATATGATTGAAAGTTATTGTAGAATTAAGAAACAAGAGGAATGAGCAAAACTATTTCTATTACCACATCAGACATTGTTTAAATACAAACAAGCAAAATGTGTTCTGGAAAAAAGATCTGATTTATCATCCCCAATGCTGAATAAAAAAAATATGTGGATATATTATAATTGAAGCCTTTTTAGTAAGACTTGGCTTAATTGCTTTCAACTTAGCCTCTCTGTTTGCACATTGTAAAAGTTGGACACATTTGAATGATTTTAAAAAGGGTAAGATAACAGACAATGCTAGAGAACCCCACATTCTTTGCTCTTCTGGGTTTTTTCCTACTACTTCCCACAGATCAGTTCTTGGATTTGATGATATAATTATAGTAGAGAAAAATAAAATGGTACGTTGGAATAGGGAAAAGAATATTATTATTTTTTAACTCAACTACAATTCTTATCCAGAATACAGTCAAAATGTATTGTATTGTTTTAAACAAATGTGTGAAGTTTGGCTGCCTTTATTATATCATTATATCTATATTTGTTTTTATATCATTTTTGTTCCTAATTTTGTTTTCCTTCTCTTTGCTTCAATTTGTCAGAAGTATCCTTTCCTAATACTTCACATGGATTTTTGTTAAAATTCTCCTTTATTGTATTTTCTGCCTATATTCATGGAAATGAAATGATTTCACCACAAGAGCAATCATAATTAAACTCATATTGAATGGAAAAATCAGGAAAATAGTTATTAGTCTTTACCTGTCATGGCTTGTTGGTCATCTACTATTAACTTTAAACTTTTTCCTCTTCGAACTACACGTACTGTATGCCATTCATTGTCATTGAGGTTATATCCAGCAAAAAGAGTCTCTGGACCTTTGCCTGTAGGGTATGCCAAACAGTTTATTATGGTATCTTTACATCATTCAATATGTGAACCTCAGAGAGAGAAAGAGAGACAGAGACAGAGAGAAAGAGAGAGCACAAGAAAAAGAGAGAAAGATAGGGGGACAAAGAGAAAAGGAGAGAAACACAACAAGAAACAGAACCAAAAGAGAGACACTTTTGCTGGAGCAAAATAAATAAATAGTAATAATTTTAAAAATAACAGTACATCTTTGAAAGACTGATGTTATCAAATAATAGGTATACTTCAAAAGGCAGGCATGTTATCTCATTATATTTATATATAGCCAACAAGCAGTGTTTTCATAAATGGACACAGTCAACACAGAGCTGGTAGCTACTGGTGATACAGATTTGTCGAAATTGCACCTTTTCAGTAAAGTTAATTGAGTAGTAATTAAGTTAAAAATGAAAATTCTCCAGAAGTGGAAAAGTGTATGAAACTGGCATATTATTGTCTTCAGTGTATGCCTATTGTAAAGTCATTTATTTTTAATCCCATCTTTATTATTTTTAAAATAGCTCAAGGCAAGGAATAATACCTAATAACTACTTCCTCCTATTTCCCCCCAAAATAATACCATGTGAGATGAGTTGGGCTGTGAGAGAATGATTGACCCAAAGTTCCTCAGCCAACTTTCATGCCTAAAGCAGAACTAGAACTCATGGCCTCCTGATTTTCAGCCTGGATCCTTAAGCATTAGAGCTCTCATTAATTAAACTTTATTTTAGTATTTTCTGTATATTACATTCAGAATATCTGAACTAAGATTGTAAGACATATATCACAAGAAATTGTCTGAACAATAATGCTTTAACTGCAGTTTGAGCTCTCCATTTGTGGAAAGCAGGGCAGAGACTCTCTGATGTGTATGCTCTGCAAGATTGCAGAGCATAAGCAACTTCCTAAGGCCGTGTTTGTCAATGTTTGAGAGATGGATGGAGATCCGTTAGATAAGTAAAAGAAAATTAAGCTCTAATACCCCAGCTTGTTTAATGTCCCTACACATTCTGCACACAGTTGCTACTTGAAAGACAGCCCTTGGTGGATATGCTCTGCCCACTGAGGGAATCATAAGCTTCAAGAACCATTTTTGGATATGTCTCAACCTGTGTGCTGTTTGGGGCTTGGGATGACTTGCAAAACTCTCAGAGTCCTGGCAGTTAAAGTTGCAAAGATGAGTCTTGATGCCAATTGCATTTGTCTCTCAGGGTGTCACACAATTGTGTTAGTTAAAAAACAAACAAACTAGGGAATCAATAACAGACCTTAAGGCACCCATTCCTTGGAAACTTATGTTTGAAAGGCTCCTAGAAACATCTTTTAAGTGTTTGAACCACATGAGGATGAGAATCATTTGGAAGACAATGCCAATATTGTATTCCTCTCAGAGTTTAACCAAGGCTTCTGTATCTTTTTATTTTTTAATTTATTTTAATTTATTTATTTTTGTCAATTGCTTACAAGATAATAGGTATAAGTAAAAACATAGTTATGAATACATGGATACATATAAGAAAAAGAAAGAAACAATAGGACAGGGACGGTAGGCACGTTGGTGCACTTATGCACGCCCCCTACAGACCTCTTAGGAAAGGGGTGAGGTCATTAGTAGACAGTCTAAGGTTAAATTTTGGGGGGTTTGGGGATGATACCACAGAGTCAGGTAGACTATTCCAGACATTGACCACTCTGTTGTTACATCTGTATCTCTCTCCTGCAAAAATGTGTTTATCCAGATGACTGCTTCTCACAACATCCAGAATCCCAACATTCCTGATTGCGGGTGTTAAGCAAATGCATTTTTTTGTTAAGTGGGCAGAGTCTCAGGTAAGGAACACAGGATACTCTGGGTAGAAGAGCCTGGGAGGCTCTGATCAGGAGCTGAAAATCCCTGTTGAAATTCTAACAGAATTTTCAGTCCCTGAGGCAAGAGACATTTGCTTGTGGCCTACTGGGCCTTCCAGAGCCTCTCCCATTCACCTGAGGCCCCATGAAGCTTACCTGAGACTGTCTACTTAATAACCAAATATCTATCTATCTATCTATCTATCTATCTATCTATCTATCTATCTATCTATCTATCTATCTATCTATCTATTATTCTTATTTACATTTATTTGTTTATATCATTTATTAAATTTCTTTGCTACTCATCTCACCATGAGGTGACTCTTATATGTGATCTCTCCACTCTCTGCTTGGCTTTTGGCTCCCTCTCATCTCCAGAGGCTGCCTGATGAAGAAAGTTAGCTCTCCTTCTTGCAGAAAGGAATGACTTTGTTGGAATATAGAAATAGAATCACCATGACAATCAGAAGTGCTTTTTATCTGTAAAACACCCTTTCTGAGACCTTTGTAACTTTTAGTGGTGGTTAAACAACCAGGATTAAATCGAGGACTATCTGAAACTGTTTTTACAGAGATAAGAACTTGCAACCTACCTGAGACTGTAGCTTTCTATCCCATGTTTAAAACACACTGGAGCTATCATTTCAAAATGGATACTATGCTGAACGCTAATAGGAAAGATATCAGATCTGTGTTTTGGATCCACCATAGCTATTCTGCCTCCCTGTGTGTGTGTGTGTGTGTGTGTGTGTGTGTGTGTGTGTGTGTGTGTGTGT